ATACATATACACACACCATATACTGTCTGTATACACATGTGTCTTTACTTGTATGCATGTGCATATGTATGTATACGTATATATATATATATATATATATGTATGCATGTGTATGCGTGTATAAATATACATACACGGTATGCATGTCTGTTGGCGCAGGCTCCCCGCATTCTCGATGCAGGCTTCTTGATTGAATGTCTCCGGCTTCAATCCAGCACCCCGACGTAAAACCCGTGATCTGGTACAGTTCCCGAAACCTAAATCCCTGAACACGACTTCCATCCCACCTGGACCGTCCCCGAAACATCCACCGGGGCACTTCTGCAACATCGCTGCTAGGCGGTGCCGAGGGGAGGCAGAGAGGACGGATGCAAGCGGCGTCTGCTGGTCAGGGGCGCCTCTTGGCACTTGGGGCCGCTTGTGGGGCCCCACAGGGGCTTTGGATCAAGTTGTTTTTATTGTTAGCTCCTTTTTCCTCGATAATGCTTAGGGTTTAAGGGTTTACTGTATAGGGTTTAGAGACGGGTTCAGGGGCTTTGGATGCAACTACGGGTTGGGGATGAGAGATCAAGGTGTAGAGTGTGGAGTTTTGGGTTTGGGGTGTTTAGGCGTAGCGTTTAAGCTAATTCCCAAACTCCGAACTCATAACAACCGAAACCCTGCAACGTCAACGATATAGCTTACAAAGCGTTTCAACAATATGGGTAGCACACAAGAGTACGAGAACAGCGAAAACAGCAAGATTGCCAGTCACAATACCTAAACTCAACGGAACATTCCTATAAAGTAGCAGTGCTGCTGCTCAGTCTAAGTCCATAAATACAGAAAGGCGGGTCCGGAGTAAAACGGAATGGTCGCTGCAGTGGCATTGAGGGCTTTCAGGGCCGATGTGCTGCTGCTTCGGGGGGGCTTTCTCGGAGCTTGGGAGGGCTCTGCTTTCAAATTATTACTCTTATTATTATTATTTCTATGATTACTATCATTACTATTATTGTTATTATTGTTATACGCAGTTTCTGGGCCGATTCTCGGAGTTGGTACAGTAGCCTTGGGTTTATCGATCGGCAATCCGGCTGGTGGGCACGGTGGGTAACACGTAACTATGAAGCAGCATGCCCTCCATGCAAAGGGCGAGTAAGTTCAAACTCGAATATCTCGAATTCCTGGATTGGGCGAGAGCCGTTGACCCTTAAAGGATAGAGCAAATGTCCCGGGTTATTCTCATTTGGATTGCAAACCGGTGCGGGCACTAAGCTGCCCTTAATCTTCGTTACACCCAAGGACGCAACCAAAACAAATCCTAAACCCTAAACCAACCACGACCCCTCAATGGCCCCATAATGTAGCCCTAATAGCCCTTAATTGTAGGTATTTGGTGCATATTAGAGGGTAGTTGGGGGGTCTAGGAAAACCCTAAATACCCTAAAACTATACCCCAGTCATGTGGTCTGCACCTGTGGCGTGCGACTTCGGGTGAGCCCAGAGGAGCTGCGCATCACCTGCAACTACCAAAGCGACGGACGGCATGACAGAATCGCCCTATGCTTATCTATGTATATATATATACACACAGATACAGATATATAGGTCTATAGATATATCTACTATATGAATGCATAAAAAATATAATCACATATATATATATATATGTATATATACATACACCTATACATCAAAATCAACCCTGTGGAGCTGAGCGACTTAGACACATCGGGATTAAACCCCCCAACCTTCGGAAAATACTGACGTCGCAGTGGAAACCCTCCATCGAGCTCATGAACACTGGACTTGTCAGTTCCCGGCCAGTCTGAATCAAAGAAAACACAAGCCGGCCGGACAGCCCGAGACGCAAACCGAACATCACCGGAAAAGATCATCGGCAAACCCTGCGGGGCGGTCGTGCATGTAGCCACTACTATGTGAAATGAGTTTGAGCACGATACTGCAATTTCATGCATCCTCCACTTCGGGGGAGCTTCGCAGCGTTCAGGCAAACTTGGACATGAGTCAGGAGACCTATATGCACAGACTACGCACCGCGCCGGGGCAGCAGGCGAAATATTCCGCGCTTGTCTTGAAGGCGCGATAGCCAATTCGCTTGTATTGATAGCATCAGTACCCCATAGCATGTACTACACTGTTTTAAACAAGACAAGCCAACTGTAACACTTTTTGACCAAAACCTCAAATGCTAGGCCCAGGTACTGCGAGTCTCCTGCCAGTCGCGTGCCCACTCCAGGCTGGGGCGGCCTGTGGCCGGAGGCTTTTCGGGTTTGAAGGTATAGGGTCTTAAAACCGGGGTTTTGAAGTTTAGGGTTCAGGGTTTAAGGTTTGCGGTCTGTGGCCAAGCTTTTCCAGCCACAACTTGATGTTTTGAGGGTTTTATTTAAGCCGTCTAGTACCATCGAGCTTGTGGGGGTTCAGGGATTTAGGGTGAGGTTTAGGGTTCAGGGTGTTTGCAGGCTTGGGTTTAAGCTTCGAGTTCAGGGTGTTGAAGATTTATAACGTTTGGCTTGGGTTATGACATGAAGACACTTAGATCTCGGGAGGTTTCTAGGTACTGTACGCGGAGTGAAGTTTGTAGGGTCCGGCTATCAGATTGCGGGCTGGTAGGGTCCGAAGCCAAAGACCTGAGCCCTCATCCGAGGGACTGTTGTGGCACTTCAGGCGCTAGAAGCTCAGTTATTTCGGGGTCTTTTGGGGTGGTAGGGAACATGATTTATCAGGCATTCAAGGGTGTAGATAACTTTACACTGTAGGGCTCAGGCGGGGGTCGAGGGTGTTGTGGTCTGTTCTTCCCTACAGCAGCTCGAACTGGTAGCAGACATCCCAGCACTGAGCAAGCCTTGCACCAGCGCCCGCACATGGCTCCTTAGGGGAGCTGACCCTAAATCTTAAACTTTAAACCTTAAGCCCGAAAGCCGTGATACTCTACAGCCCTAAACCGTATCGTTTCTCCTGGCCCCAACTACTGGCGCCAACTGATACAGAATCTTTACACAATTAGTTAGGCTACTTTCATCGACCAGGGACTACAGGGGCATGCTGTGTCTGATGATTTAGATCCCTACAGTATGCAAGCGAGTTGCCGGGCCCTTTTGTGGGACCGGCCTTTCAGAAGCTCCTTCGACAGACTCCAGCGTGCCGTTTGCAAGTTACACGTTTTTTAGCGGGAATTCGATCGCGGAACGTTAGACAGAAGTTAGATGCAAGCTTCACGTCTATACCCCCCCACATGGCCCAAAAAAAGCAAAAGCCCCTAAATCCTAGCATGCGTCTGGCATCCCAAACATTCCCGAACCACAAACATAGGGTTCCCGGAGACCCTGCTACACCACAGAGCTGAAGTGCTGGAAATTTTGCATCGCGAAGAGCTTTATCCTCAAATCCTGAAGCCCTCTCGCTTGACGGATTAAAGCCCTTCAAGCCATAGAACCGAGTTCCTGGCGGTTTGGGACTTTCGGAGCCTTACGGGATAAGGCTTGGGGGTTTCGGTATATGTGTGTGTGTGTGTGTATATATATATATATATACATATGTGTATTGGCTTATCTGTTATTTGCTCGTTGAAATGTTGATTTCTTTGTGCATGTACGCAGAATTCTGCACGCATGCCACTCCACGGCCGTGAGTCCAATCCGAGGCGGCGCCAGCATCAAGGAGCTGAAAGAGTTCACGTACGACCTGCGGACACCCCGTTCGAGATTAGGTGATGAGGGTTTGTTACGACGCCGGATTTAGGGTTCAGGGCCGAGAAGTAGTATTGAAGCTGATGGCTATATAAGTTTTCTTGTCGGGCTCTTTCCTCCCTGCTAGATTTGCTAGTCAAGGAGGACAGGGGGCCGTCAACGAAAATTAAAACTATACATTAACTCGAAGTAGACAGCAAAAAAAGGCAAACCCTCAGCCCCCAAAACTGGATCTCCGAAGGCGGTTCAACGTTTCGTGCTTTGGGAGTAGCGTTCAGTGCCGCCTAACCCAGGATCAAGGCCCATGCTTGTCGGTCGGCCAGCCATCTTGGGTTTCTGGTGTCACGGGGGGCCAAGACAGGGCTGTGCCTGTAAAACTGGCTAAAGAATTTGCAAAAAGTCCCTGCCTGCGCATCGCTGCCCCCAAAGGCAACCAAGTGGGCGCGCAAAGCTCGATACATGGCTGTCGTGAAAACCGAAGCCAAATGCTAATCTTGACGTTGAGAGGAACCCTCCTATCTCGATGCTAAACGGACGTGGCCTAGAAGGCCCACTGCCTCGAGATGCCCTGGCGCTAGAGTCTATATGAGTCTTAATCCTACGGCCCTAAATTTACACCACGCATGCCACTACGCATAGTCAGGAAGAAAGTGCCTGCTTTTTGAACCAGATAATCACATGTGGCGTATCTATACTCTCATGGCGCACAAAAGCCTGAGGATGCATCGGGTAAGCCGGCAAACGAATACGAGGGCCTTGGGACTGGGTGTCCTTGCAACTTCCCAAAGAAGTCCCTTGCCCAACCATCATGGTGGACTTCCGGATGCTTTCTTCAGTTCAGTGTTTGAGAAGCCGCGTTCGGTAGCACCGCATGAGAACCCCGAGCCCTTCAAGCTATTGACGAGCAGTTCGTGGTCTCACAAGCTGCAAAAGAAGTGGATAGCGGAGAAGCGTCTTCTGGGTCTGACGGCTGGTAGGCATGCCTCCTACCATGTAACAGGGCAGATGGGTCATGGTTGTTCCAAATGCCGCGATTTCGAGGAGGAGCGACTCGTTCAACAAATGCGCATGGCGCTTCTCATTAGGATGGCACTTTCCATGGCAAGTTCCAACGAGGAAGCCGGTCTCTAAACCACACCCCGTGTGAGCGACGACCGACAAGTTCTGAGCATCTTGGAGCCCTGCCTGAGACCCCCATAACTTTCTAGACAAATCGAGACACGAGTTCTTCCAAAGTCTAAATCACGCCTCGCTACCCTCGAGTCCATGCCCGACATCTAACCCCTAAACCCTAAACCCTTTCTAGCGAGCCTGTAGGGATTGGGCGGCCAGTCCTTCACGTGCTCATGTAGGTTCTCGGAAACGGCCCTTTTGAGGGTCTTCAACATAGGGTGACGTGCTTGAGTCGAGATCCAACGCGACCTTCAGAACTACCCATGTAGAGAGTCAGAGTGCAAACTGCTGCCTAGGACCTTCGCACGACTAAACGTGTAGGGTCGGTTTTACAGGCTTTAAGCAGAGGTGCTGGCTTTCTGGTGATTTGTTGAACGGGACTCGGCCATGCCATAAGAACCCATCTGTCCCTGTGCTTTGTGAAGGCAGGGTCAGCATCTGCTGCCAACCAAGTTCATGACAGTATTGCTGCTAGTCGTGTCAATCACGGCTGTTACTGTTTCATTCATGATTGTCTGTGTGCAACTTTGCAAAACTAAGGCCGCAATTAGTTGCTTCTGTGCTTCCAACTCCTTCCATGATGAAGAAAGCTGTCGTCCTGGACAGCCCCAAAACCGCTTAGGTCAAACCGATGTGCAACCCCCGAAGTCTCTACTGAGAAAGCGGATCTCCACTCCAGGATACTCGCTTTTAATCGGCCTATAGAAATGGTCGAGTGGAGCCCGCGCAGGGCTTAGCTGCCTGAGGACTACACTCCTATCTTTCGTTCTACTACGGGAGGGTGAAGCTAACTAGCTTGTTCTGCACGGTTTTCGGTCCAAAAAGCCTTTAAAACACATGGAGCTTACAAACCCTGAAACAATGAAATCAAAGGCACCCTGTCCCTCCTTCACCCTGAACCAACCCGTCCCAAATTTTGAAGAGACCCTACAGTGGGAAAGCTAGGGCACACTGTTGGCTGTTGGGGATTTAAGGATCCTGTCATCTACGTTCCATGTGGGCCCACTGACAATCTTCGAAACCAAAGCCTGCTTGTTTGCATGTACCTGGTGGTATCCCTGCCCAAGGCGTACGAAATTGTGCCAAGCTCAAGCCCAAATCCTGGACCCTTTGGCCCCAGACGTGGAACCCTGAACCCTCAAGCCAGGAACCTGCGCGTCCCGTCCTCCTCGTCGAGGGCGGCGATCGGCGCAGAAAGGCTGAGACCCTGCATACCCAGGGGCGCCTTCGCATATTCAGCGTCAGATGTCGGTTCTAAGGGACCCCAAGAAGAACAGAAAGGCTTCAAACGCTGAACCCCAATCCCAAACCCCAATCCCAAACCCTACATCCAACCAGCAAATCAGGCCCCGGTCTCCGAGCAAGCCCCAAATACTCTATGTGCACGAATTCCTAGATGAGCTCGGAATAATGCCACTACAATCACCACCAATGTCCCCGCCAAAAACACATGCCAGCGTAAACCCTAGAGCCTGCACACAACACATAGCCAGCAGTGCAAGGCCTACACGCCCATGCAAGAACTACCTTAAGCCGGAATAGCCTACCTTTTGAAGGACTTATATAAGGAAATCATAATAAGGAACCCAAAAAAAGTAGGTTATTCCGGCTTAAGGTAGTCCCAAGAGCACCATTGATACCCCGGGCCAGCGACACGAGTCCGGCCGAACACGATTCTTAGCGGAGGAAACGAATAGAATTTCCAACATATTGCCACGGTCCAACTTGACTAATCTCGCACCACCCTCTCGTCCCGTGTGTATATTGGTGTGTTTTCCAGGCGCTCATGCTTAACACCCGTCCCTCCTACCAGATGCTACCCCCTGCAGGGTCCGTGACTCCTTGGTGTCTCGGCCTGGACAGTGATTCAGTGATCCTCTTCATTCTCATCAGACAAAAACCCACAAAAAGCGTACCCTAACCTGAACTCGATTATAGACCATAAGCCCTTATCCGAACCTACTATGAATGCCCTAAACCCTATCATAAACGCTAAACCCTATCATAAATCAGACTATACACTGTAAAGCCTACTCTAAATCTAATCCCTAAACCCTCTCATAAGTATTATGAACTCGACTACACCACGATTTCTACGAAAACTCGACTATAATCCCATAACCCTGTCACCACCCTCCTGGAGAAGTGAGCCTTCGCCTCGAGATCCTCAGCCCTCGCGCTCGTGGCGCTGCCCCGGCCCTCAAGGAAGCCGAGACCCGATCCTCGAGTGAAAGGGTTTAGGGTTTAGGGTTTAGGATTTAGGGTTTAGGGTTTAGGGTTTAGGGATTAGGGTTTAGGGTTTAGGGTTTAGGGATTAGGGTTTAGGGTTTAGGGTTTAGGGATTAGGGTTTAGGGTTTAGGGTTTAGGGATTAGGGTTCAGCTTCTCTGACTTTGGAAATTTCGAGTCAAGCTATTTCAAATCAAAACCCCACCCGCCCAAAGGTTCCCCTCACATTATGAAATAACAATCTTTATTTTATATTCGGGTAGAAGACGATTCTTCTTAGGAACTTTTTTTAATAGTACTTTTTATTTTGCATACGATCTCGTCTTTTTTTGTTAACAATGGACACAACTTCTTCCTAGCTTATAGAATCATAGCACACATAACCGCAAGATACTACAAAAAACAAAAAGAAAACATCATGCCATGCTGCGGAACTTCGTTAATCAATGAGTCTTTATATTCCTTGCTATCCTCGTCTTGTTTAGGTGTTGTCTATCAACAATGAAAAACCGCTTGCAGAATTGTTTCGCTTATGGGAGCGTTAGGAAGTAAAATCTCTGGCAGAACTGCTTCGCTTATTGGAGCTTTAAGAATGAAAAACTCTTGCAGAATTGTTTCACTTATTGGGGCGTTAGGAAGGAAAACCTCTTGCAGAATTGTTTCGCTTATTGGGGCGTTAGGAAGGAAAACCTCTTGCAGAATTGTTTCGCTTATTGGGGCGTTAGGAAGGAAAATCTCTTGCAGAATTGATTCGCTTATTGGGACGTTAGGAAGGAAAATCTCTTGCAGAATTGATTCGCTTATTGGGACGTTAGGAAGGAAAATCTCCTAAACCCTAGCCGGTTTCCATCTAGCGTCGCTTATTGTAAATCTCGGGCCAAGAGTTTAGAGACTAGATCTCGGGCCAAAAGTTTAGGCCCTAAATCTCGGGCCAAGGGTTTAGGCCCTAAATCTCGGGCCAAGGGTTTAGGCCCTAAATCTCGCGCCAAGGGTTTAGGCCCTAAATCTCGGGCCAAGGGTTTAGGCCCTAAATCTCGGGCCAAAATCGGGCCAAGGGTTTAGGCCCTAAATCTCGGGCCAAGGGTTAGGCCCTAAATCTCGGGCCAAGGGTTTAGGCCCTAAATCTCGGGCCAAGGGTTTAGGCCCTAAATCTCGGGCCAAGGGTTTAGGCCCTAAATCTCGGGCCAAGGGTTTAGGCCCTAAATCTCGGGGTTTAGTGCCGCCCTAAATCTTGGGCGAACGGTTTGGCCCTAAATCTCGGGTCCAGGGTTAGGGCCCTAAATCTCGGGCCAAGGGTTTAGGCCCTAAATCTCGGACCAAGGGTTTAGGCCCTAAATCTCGGGCCAAGGGTTTAGGCCCTAAATCTCGGGCCAAGGGTTTCGCCACGAAGATTGATGAAGTCGCCACGAAGATTGATGAAGTCGCCACGAAGATTGATGAAGTCGCCACGAAGATTGATGAAGTCGCCACGAAGATTGATGAAGTGACCGCCCTAAATCTCGGGCGAACGGTTTAGGGCCGCCCTAAATCTTGGGCGACGGTCCCTAAATCTTGGGCGAACGGTTTAGGGCCGCCCTAAATCTCGGGCAAACGGTTTAGCGCCACGAAGATTGATGAAGTCGCCACGAAGATTGATGAAGTTGATCAGCTGAAAACGTCAATCGCCACGAAGCCATTAAGGTTTAAATTACTATAGGTAGAGAGGTTTAGGGTTTAGGGATTAGGGTTTAGGGTTTAGGGTTTAGGGATTAGGGTTTAGGGATTAGGGTTTAGGGTTTAGGGTTTAGGGTTTTTTTTTAAAGTGCAATAGCCCCTTTAGGGTTTAGGGCTTAAGGTTTAGGGTTTAGGGTTTAGCCTCCTTGTACCCTCAAATAGGGTATATGGTCCCAAATAAGGGGCATTTTGGGGAAATATTGCGGCTTCTATTAGCACTTACCTGGAGGCTCCATATATGGTACCATTGTGGAATTAGATCCAAAAAGACCATTCTTATTATGGTTACCCTCCTTGTACCCTCAAATAGGGGTATATGGTCCCAAATAAGGGGCATTTAGGGTCCAATACAGGGTAGATGGAGGGTCTGGGTACCTAGAGGCTCCATATATAGTACCATGTGTGGAATTAGGTCGAGAAAGACCATTCTTATTATGGTTTTGAGGACCTAATTCCATAATGGTAGTATATGTGGAGCCTCTGGTTAGAAAACATCAATAATACTGATGACAATCATAAGAAAATACTGATGGTAATCATAAGAATGAAACTTCGAAGAGGCTTCAGCGCAAAGTCTGCTATAATGCTAGCCCAGAGGGTCCTAAGTCCGAGGTACCTATATATGGTAAAAAGTGAGTTTCTTTCGTAGGAACGTGTATTAGTAGACTTTGGGTAAGTATCCCGCATGTATTATGCACTTAATTAGGACCCTGTAGGTATTACGGGCTTAGTGACTTTAATAGGGCTTGAGTGTAAGTTATACTATGATAATTGGGAATACATCACTTCTGTCTCAGCTTTGCATCTATGTTTAGGCTGACTTATCATGTCAT